AATCAAAGAAATGAGATCAGATGCATACATATCTTAAGGCATTAACATAACTATGCAAAATCAACACAACATAACTTCCTCAAAATTTATTAACCCTACAGCAATGACATCTAGTGAGAGTGAGTTGGATGAAATACCCAAAAAAGTGAGAACACAAGAACCTCTGTGCCTTCCACAGCAGAGCACAGGCCCAGATGTGTCATGGTTGCCTGGAGGCTCCAAGAAAAACCATTGTGTCATATCTGAAACTTGACTTTGTCAAGTAGCTCTTTATCCATTTCCTTTCTAGGAGTTCCATTACAACTAAAAATTAATAATGACCCTGCATAACTAGCAAATTATTTAAAGAGGTTTACAATCTATGTAATATTAATCACTTTACTAAAATACCTTACAATCTATAGTGTCAGGCTGTTGGAGAACAACACCTCAAATACTTAAATGGCAAATTTTAAAAATAGGAAAAATGGGGCTGGAGAGATAGCTCAAAGGTTAAGAGCACTGGCTGCTCTGCCAGAGGTCCTGAGTTCAATCCCGAGCAACCACAAGATGGTTCACAACTATCTGTAATGAGATCTGGTGCCCTCTTCTGGCCCACAGGGATACAAGCAGACAGAACTCTGTATGCATAATAAATAAATAAATCTTTAATAAAATAAAAAGAAGATATATACACCCACTTAAATCCCCACAAACTATGCTCCATGTAGCTATGCTAACTTCAATTTTTTTCACTTTAAAGGATAATGCCTTTTCTGATGCCCCAAAGCATTTTGCCCTAAAGGAGACACAGCCTAAAAATATATATTAAATGGAAAGACCTAGAAACTGATCAGTGGAAAAGGCCCAATGTTCTTCTAACATCAAAGGTTATGCTGTGTCTTTCCAGAAAATGAATAAGGTCCCAGATGTCTCCCACTCCAATGAATCTGACCAGGACAGCATCCCAGAGACCACCAGTCAAACAGAACATCTAAAAATAGATGGCAAACCCATTAAGAGGAGACATTCCAGTAGGTAGAATAGACTTAAGGAGATAACAAGGACACAATGCTACTGATGCCAAAATGATGCTGTTATGTTTACTGACTATATTATATGTTAATTCTCAGCTTGTCAGTGCAGAATTCAAACACCTTTTGTCATGGAGAATAGAAGACTGTGATAGGAGACAGAGTGATGTTGTTTTCCCATGCTAAAGATTGTTTTTATGCTTTTTTATTGCCAGTTCCAGGAATGATTACTGGAATACATAGAGAGGTCTCAAAGATGGCCTGTATGATTAGTAAAACTACTACTGTCAAGCAAAAATATGAGCAGAAATTAATCGAGAGATGGGTGAACTGAGGAGCTCAGTTTTACAAACTAGAGCTACTTTATATTATCGGTTGCTCAAGCACAATCTTAGAGGGTGTCATCGATTCCTTGGCATGAGTTGCTTTAATGTGTCAGATTTCTCTCACACTATGGATGGTCAAATTAATGATCTGCATAGGGAGATAAAATCTCTCAAGTGACCTTTGCATGGTCATCATGGTGAAGGTGGTTTTCCCCTTTCCTAGGTCCTCTGTTAGCTGTTCTTATAATTCTGTTATGCTTGCCTGTACTAGTAGAAAAGCAATGCAGGTGATGCATTCAATCTTGGCTTCTATTACAGCCACTTCTCTCTTTAAAAAATAGAAAGGGGGTGTGAGAGGCATGAAGGTCATTGTGCTCACAGATAAGCACTAGGGAAACCAGGAATGCTAAACACACCAAGGCTGTCCCTTCAAAGGGAGGGGACATTTAACCTGTTATCAGTACAGGCGGCTGTGAGAGGATCATAAGAATGTTTAAACACACAAGCAAACAGCTGAATGAAATAAGAAAGACAATGGGTGGTATACAAGGAATGCAACAGAGACGGAATTACTGAAGGAAAACAAATTTGAAATCCGGAAGTAAAAAACATAGTAGGTCATACTAAACTCTGTGGAAATTATCAGCAAGAATAGATGGTGGGGGACAGAGTATCTAAGCATCTAAGCTTGAAGACAAGATAGAGAAACTGGAACAATCCAACAAGGACAAAGATAAAATAATAATAAGGCTTCAATGGAAACTCCAAGATACACATGACACTCTGAAAAGGCCAAACTGATTGGATTATAGGCATAGAAAGAGAAAGAGAGAGAGAGAGAGAGAAGAATCTCTTTCTAAAGACATGGAAAGTGTTTCCAAAAGAATCAAACAGAAAATTTCCCAGTTTTAGGGAAAGAGTTGCCAGTTTAGATACACAAGGCATTTAGGACACCACACATACAGATCAGAAAAGACACTTCCTCACCATACTATAATTAAATACTAGGGACTGGAGATAGCTCATCATGTCAGCATTCCCTATTCTTCTAGAGGAGTCAAGTTTGGTTCCCAGCACCCAACCAAGGTGACTCTCCACTGCCTATAACCTTGGTTCAGGGAGATTCAATGCCCTCTCAGACACCTGCACACACATATACACTCACACAGACACACAGGCAGACACAAAAGCAAAATAAATCTGAAAAATTAAAACACTAACTATACAGAACAAAGTATATTGAATCTTTAGATTTATGTGTTTACTTTGAAGTACCTGTCAAACTCAGGAAGCTAAAAAGGGCCCATTTAGGGGTGAGGGTTCTAAATGGGTGAGGGATTAATAGAATACATACAATAGAAAATAGAGAGGGGGAAATATTGGAGGTTAAACGTTTAAGCAGTGATGGGGGTAGAGGTACAGGATGAGGAAGGGGTGGGGAGTTTGTTAACCAAAACTAAGGATGTAAGGAAAGCCCGTGTGTATGTGTGTGTGTGTGTGTGTGTGTGTGTGTGTGTGTGTGTGTGTGTGTGTAACTTTAATCACTGGTACCTGGAAGAGAATATTTCCCCTAGAAGATGTGTGTTATTAAACAGACTCAGTTCCAGGCATAGGATCAGGGCCAGGAAGGCCCCAGAGGCTCACAAACAACCCAAGTTATTGCTATCCCTTTTGGCTACTGACCATAACAAGACAGTAAGGTCTTGTGGCTTAAAACAGAATATATTTTGGTTGCAGGACATAAAGACATCAAGCTGGAACTGATCTAAAAGCTTCCTACCTACTGGCTAGTTTACATGGTGCCAGGAGGTACTAAGCAGGCTGCAGGGGAAGAAAAGCCATCAGTGTTATTATCTAGTGATGAACCCTGCATGCTACAATACCTACTAGCCAGACAAGATATACAATAACAGCACATAGGTTATTGGGGGGGGGGTTAAACAAACTGCTTTTGGATTGGAGTTGACACCTGTTCCAAAGGACAGAATTCATGCAAGGTACTGTAAACTTGAGGAACCTACTACTGTTATCTTGCTAAATTGACATGTCAAACTCTTTTCTAAATACTTGTGTTCAGACACATAGATTAGTGCTGCCCTCAGCCTCAACTAGAGATGATTCTCTCTGTAGTGAGTAGCAGTCAATGCAGAGACTCATAATTGGTCCAAGTATTGAGAGTAAGTGACTACTGAATGGCCAGCCCTAAATAAGACATCTATTTCAACACGCACACGCACACGCACACGCGTGCATACAAGCAGGATACTGTATAAAAGGGAGCAATGACCACTTTGGAATTGTCTTGCATATGTTAAATACCATTTATGAGAATGGGTGCTTCCCCTACATGTATGTCCGTGCACCACATGCATGCAGTGTCCATAGAGGTTGGAAAAGGGCGTCAGATCCCCTGGGATTGGAGTTACAAACACTTTCAAGGAGCCATGGTGGGTGCTGGGAATCGAACCCAAAGCGTCTGGAAGTGTACACACTTGCCTGTGTGAGTTTATGTGCATCGTATCTATGCAGGAGACCACGGAAGCCAAAAGAGGGAATCATATTTGAAAAGCATTTAACTGCTGAGCCATGTCTCCAGGCACAACGTTCAATTTTTGAACGAATGGATGAGGAAACAAATGTCTTTACTGGTACAGAGTTGTATACAACCTGGAAAGGGCTTTACAGTACGTGTGTAGTGTCCTAACTTAGGAATCTGAAGTGCCCTGGCTATCTCTCCTTGAAGATCAGCAGCAGAGCCCCCCAGTGTGACCTATAAGCGAGCAAACCCTGTAAGTCACTCAGACTCTTAAGCTACCGAAGGTTTGATTTCCTCGCTTGAAAATGCTTGTCCACACGGTTCCATATTACCCTCTCCTCAGGTTCTAGAATCTAATCACAAATTCTCAAGTCTGAGATTATGAGAAAATAGGACATGAGAAAGGAACTCGTCTGGAAGGGAAAGGGGGACTAACGAGAAGTCGGGATGTCTCCTGGTAAGGATACTGTCCAGCCCTGGGCAATAACTCAGCTTCTCGAAGCCTCTTTGTGTTGGTTTTTATTTGTCATCCCTAAGTGGGCTGACAAATTAGGCCTTGCCTCCTCCTGCCTGCCTGCTTAAGCCTTTAAAAAAAGAAAAAAAAAAAAAGGCACGTCTCTCGGTGAGGTGACTGGCAGAGGTCGTGTGGGACTTCTGGCCAAGCGAGGGCAGCATTCTCCCTCCCGGGCGCTCTCGAACCTTTCTGCAAACCCCCAGTCCAACCCAAACCTAGCAAAGCGCCGGTGCGGACTTCCACTTTCATTTTAACTCCCTGTGCCCGGCTACTACCAGGTTGCGTTTAAAAACCAGTCTCTCAGGACTCCACGGACTGCCAAGGCTTAGCTGACGTTCTCGCGTTGTCACCACCGGAAGTGGGTGGCGGCATGAACTCCGAGTTCTCGCGAGATACCGGCGGGAAGTGGGTGGCGGCCCGGCCGGAGCTGATCGCATCACTAATCGGCTGTCGCTAGCTCGGAGCGGCTGTGGACGGTGCCCCCCGGCGCCCTGCCTCTGGGCCCCGCCCCGCGCCCCCCCC